GCAGTTCTGTGTTAGTGTTCGATATTAGAACCCATAAGTGTGCTGTGTAGCCCCATCAGCTCTGTAGTAAGATCAGTACTGGACACGGGACTGTTTCTGACTTCTGGGGTTGAGAGCTGGGATCCTTCCCCCAGTCAGCAGTCCTCCTGATGTGGCTTGCCCAAGTCTCCCTGCTGTGATCCTGTCCACTCAGCTTTCTTAGCCGCTGTGCCACCCTCTGCAGGAGCCAGCCTGAGGCTATTCTCAGGTCTGTGCACTGTTGGCCCCTTCCACATCTTGACTGGGCTCCTCTGTTCCATACCTTTGTTTATTTTCACGTTCTGCCTAAAGGGGGAGAGGTAGTGGGCTCCTTTGTCCTGCCACTGGCTAGGGTCTTTTGCTCGTGTTCATGGTCGCAGTGCATTGGGGGAGTGTCCCCTTGCCCACCCACGTCTCTGGTCACAGAGCAGAGGGGACGCTTCTGGCCCTTTGTAGCTGGGGCCAGTTTCAGTGGCCCTGGGTGGTCCTCAGAGTGGAGTTTGGCCAAACCTGACCTCTACCTCTCAACATAAATTTCCTCAATCTGCTGACCAATTGCCTGCAGTCCACCATGGCTAGACAGCTCTTCCCTTCTTTCACTCAGGCCAGCTAAGTGGCCCAACTTTTTTTTTTTTCCTCCATAGTGGGCGTTCAGGGTATATTGTCTCACACTTTCACCAGTGCCTCCAGCTGTACAAAACTGTCCCAGGTCCAGTCGCTGTTTCTCAATGAGCAGCAGAGTTGTTTTTGCTGATCCTCGCCAGGGCAGGTACACCACTGAACCACTGGGTCAGGTGTTCTTCAATCTGCATCAGTGATCTGTTTCTTTTGTAGCAATGTATCCTATTTTCTTCTCCTCTGTCAGTTCCCTCAGTGTTCTTGTGTGCCTTCTACATCCTTTTTTTGGTCTTCAGGCTGTTGATTTGCAGGATCCAGACAGCTTGTCCTGGAGAGACTATGGTGCTGGCTCTCACCGCTCTTCCATTTTCCAACCACTGTCCTTAATTTTTGTTTTCTGGGTTAAAAAACTTGTTTTACGGGGCTTCATCTGTGTATCCTTGCTGTACAGTTAGTAGCTGATAATCTATAAAGAGTTTGCTTAAAATAATAATATTAGGAGTTACAGATTTAAGTATTGCTATCTTAGTGATTCTTACTAAAAATAACTTTAAAGAGATGGAAGATCAAAATTTTAAGCCAAAAATAAATTTTAAAAATACTAGTACAAATATTATAAAGCTCAGATTCCTATCCCTTTCAATACCAATAGTTTAAAAGTTTGTGCACTAAGTATAACAAAGCCTGCTTTCTTTTCTTTTTCTCCCCTTCCTTCTCCTTCCTCTCCTTCTCCCTCCTTTTCTTTCTCTTTCTCTCTTCCCTCCCTGCCTCCCACCCTCCCTCCCTCGCACTGGAGTGCTAGCCAAGCACTCTACCACTGCCATCCCCAGCCCATAGATTACTTTTAATTTGAACCAAAGAACTACAAGATTTTGAATGATTATTTAAAGTGAATGCTCAAGTATTCAGATAAGGTGAGCATTTGGAAAACACACAGTGTGTTTAAGTGGTACAACCCCAGTGCCTCCGTAGGCCTTCATTTAAAGCTTTTCCAGCAGTATCCTTGTTTTCCCAGCCTGGGATTCTATTTCCAAATCTGAGATCACTGGTTCTTTATTTTGTGGTATCTTCAAATCATTAAGTAAAGGTTAACAAGTCTGTTTTTTGTGGTAAAGGTAAAAAGGATAAGTTACATAAATAATTTGTGACTCAGTTTCTACTCATTATTACCCATGAAAAATTTCTGTAGAAAATTAATAGAAATTTGTAGATTGCAAAATTGTTTCCTCATCCTTTGACTTAAGTCCTTGTAAGTATTGTTTCTTCTGTTTTGAGCAGCAGATTGAAGAAGTGTGAGAATCCATAGCTTTGAAAGGCAGTTTGGAACTGTGCTGACCTGGTCACAGGTTGTGCTTCCTACTTTTACCCTCAGCTGCAGAGCTCAGTACTCATTCTCCCGTGCACCCCATCCTGTCACAAGTGAGGATCAGGAAGTTACAAATAGTTGATTCTGATATTGAGGCAGTGAATTTTTTTTATTGTTAGTCTTTATTGCATACATCAAGGTTCTCTCCCCATTGTGAAGAGATTTTTGTTTATAATGATAACAACAATTGTAATAGTTACCATTTATGTACATTTCCTGTATGTGACATACCTTACTGAGATCCTTAATCAACCCAATTAGGTAGGTAATATTTTTATTTTATATCTGAGGAACCTGAGACTCATAAAGACTGACACTTTATTTGCTACAAACAAATGGTTCTTCAATGAGAGGGACCTCCATGTACCAAGGTACCAACACTTTTGTTTCTGTATTTGTACTGTATGTGCTGTGCAGAATCTGAAAGGCTGCTCTGCTAGGCCAGAGGGACCAAGCACTAATTTCCCTCCCTTTCTAACTCCTGGAAACTTAGAGGCAGAGTGCCAGGTAAACAAAGATAGCATTTAATAGTTAAATGAGATATGATCAAAACATACGGTGAACATTAAACCATTCTTTTCTTTTTACTCTATTACACTAAATGACATATTGCTTTTAATCCCTCTCAAAATACTCACCCTCACTTTGAACACACTTGACCCATTGTTCTTGCCACCTTCTGAAGTAGTTTTGAATGTCCTCTTCTATGAGTGTCTTTAGTTGCTCCGTTGTGACTGCCTCAATGTCCTGAATCCATTCAAAACATTTGCCTTTCATGGTCATTTTGGCTTTGTAAAGAGCCAAAAATTGCATGATGTCAGATCCAGTGACTGAAGTAGATGAGGACACACCATAGGATTTTATTTGACAGAAATTACCATAAATATATACATATATTTTTTGGTACTGGGGATTGAACTTGGGTCCTTGCGCTTGTGCAGCAGGCGGTGAAACCTCTGAGCTAAATCCCCGCCCACCCTTTTTTTAAACCATAAATATTTTGAACTAATTTGAGATGTCAAGGCAGCCACAGAAAGACACTTATGAAAGAAGACTTCCAGAACTGCTTCAGAAAGTGGCAAGAATGATGGAAATAAGTGTGTTTGAAGTGACGGGGAGTACTTTAGGGGAGTTAATTGCAGTATAATCTTTTACTATAATGAATTATTTTTTTAAAAATTAAGTTTATTGGTACATTTTAGATATACATAATGATCACATTTATCATAGGGAATTTGTACCTGTACAAGATATATCCTGATTCTTCTTCCTTTTTATGTTTAAATATTCACTGTAGTTTTGATCATACTATGTATCACAGTAAACACTGTTAATGTATTTAAAGATTTTTTAAAAACTATCAAAGTTGGATATTCAATTTTGGTCTGTTTGCAGATTTCATATATATTTGAGTAAGTTGTATTTGCCACATCTTTATAAAATTACATTTTCTTCTAAAACTGGTTTTTTAAACTTTTAATTGATTTGTATTGTATGGTTTATACTTGAATGTACTTAATTTTTAGAAGCTTGCTACAGTATAACTCTGCTTAACATGAATGTCCCCACTAAGAATATATTGCCTAAGTATAATGAAATATGTAATGCTTATGATCTTGTTCATTTAAATATCTTGACTTCTTGTAAAATTTATCTGAATTTTTATGAAATAAAATCTTGAGAGATGATTGATTCTTCATTTTAGAAAAATTAGAAAAGAAGTACTGATTACTGATTTCTAAATCTTTTCTTTATTCTGTGCCCCCAAAATTTGCTTGAAGCAATGGTTAATGATGGTCCTCAATCAGCTGTTTGTCAGAGCATAGGTTAACAGCATTGTATCCACACAGACTGATGTCCTTGGTGTCCAGAGTATTTTGTCGACTTGAGAACTACAGGTTGAATATCCCATTTCCAGAATGCTTAGAACCAGAAATTGTTTTGATTTTCAATTTTTTGGATTTTGGAATATTTTCGCATACATGCTGAGATATCTTAGGATAGGATATAAAGCTAAACACAAAATTCATTTATATTTCCTGTATGCCTTATACACATAGCCTAAAAGTAATTTTATACAATATTTTTAGTGTCCTTGTGTTTCAACTGTGACTTATCACCATGAGGTCAAGTGTGGAATTTTTCACCATGGTATCATGTTGGCAGTCAAAACATTTCAGACTTTGGAGCATGTTAGATTTTAGGTTTTTGGATTACGGATACTCAAGCTATAACAGCACTACTTGTTTTTCTCTTCAGTTATTTAACTTTTTGCTGCTTCCTAGTCCTTAGCCGTGAAATGAGATTTTTTTTCTCCTTAGCCTATTCCATTTACTATAAAAATTTTGCCTTGGTTTAATAGTGTGTTGCTCTTCTTTACTTCCTGACAGCTTTACTGGTTGTATTGTTTACAGTGTGTTGAACAGTATGCCCCATGCTAGCCTAGGGAGAAGGGAGATTTTAAACTTCTTTTTGTAATGATTAAATCCTTGGGTAAGACAATCTATGAAAATTTTTAACCTTGAATGAAATAGGTTTGGTTTTCTGAGACAGGGCCTTATTATATGCTTCAGGTTGGCCTTGAACTCACTATGTATTCTGGGCTGGCCTGGAACTCATGGCAATCCTCCTGCCTCAGCCTCTCCCGAGGCTAGGATTGTAGGTGTGCACCACCATATGGGCTGAGTGTATTTATTTTTCAATTTAATTGCAGAATTACTGCTGAGTCTTTCCTTCCTCCTTCCCTCATTTTTCACGCATAAAGATAACAGTGCCTTAGGTAAAGTATTTCCTATCGACAGTGTTAAAACAGAGCTGTTTAACATCCTTCTTTACATCCAGGTCACTAAATCAGGCTTCTGTTTACCTGGTTTTATGAGAGTAACTGTGGGTATTTGGTCTGTGTTCCTTTTGGTGAACAGGAACAAATCATGATTATTTCTATGCCTAACTGATTTCCTTCTGGAAAAAGAACACTTTTTTTTTTTTTTAACTGTAGCTTCACCAGGTAATATGGATCAGACACAAATTGAGCCCAGCCTGTGCCTTGCATCTGTATTTACAGGTAAGATTTTTACTTAAAAGTTCTGAACTTGGAGCTGTTCCGATTTTTTAATTTCCCTATGATATCTTTCCTTCATAACAATTAACAGTAGAAATTCTAATGCCAGTTTTTAATTCTTCTAAATATTTATAAATTTACGTGAGGTATAGAAATCCCTTCATGCTCTAAAGTCAACTCTCCAAAAGGCATAAGTTAGGGAATAGGAAAAAAATGTTTACCTTTTGGAAAGTTTATAAAATGTTGAATTAAAAGGCTGCAGGTGTTGTATTGAGAGCACTGGGGTTAGTACTCCAGATCATTCCATCTGGGGGCGGTTATTTGTTGGGACAGGATAGTGTTTAAACTTTGAAGTCAGTTTTAAACAAAGTGAAGCATCTGGAACCTGGCATAAGACAAAACAAATCTTTCACATTAACTATTGCTTTTTTAGAGGAAAAAGTTGGAGTTGTTTTTACAGGTGCAGGTACATATATTCTTCCTATAGGAAGTACTTTATTTTTATCTTAAATTATAAATTTTAAAAGAAGCATTTGTCAAATTAAAAAACAGAAGCAAAGTAAACTCAAGGAGGTGTAATCATATTTATATGTCTAAAACATTTTAGGATAAAACTGTTGTAACATTTTAAGACATCCTTTAAACATGAAAGTAAAGAAAAATATTTAATAGTGACTAATTCTTGAAAGCAGAAGCAAATAAAATATTACCTACTGTGTATTACTTAACATAATATGACCGGGCACCTTCTTCATCAGACTTGTAGCATTTTTTTCAAGTGCAGAACCTGTGATGTTACATGATCTGCAGGGCTGGTTTAAGCATGTGAGGAGAACTGAATACAGCAAGATAGTTTAGCTTCTGCTTATGCAAGAAATTGAAGCAGGAGTGAGACCAAGGTGGATGGGAAAAATGCTTCAAGAACCTAACAAAGGACAGCTGAAATACTGTAACATTTCCATAGACCACTGGGAGGCAGCTGCATTGCTGGAATTCAGAGCTAATTTTAAAGATAAGATGTCATTAGTGTGAATCTAAGTAAGCTGTTAGCAAGAAGAGTCACAGACTTTCTAGACAGAATAAGTCTATTTGGTTCCACAATCAAGGCCCAACTGTGTGCCCAGCATCATGCTATAGCTTTGTAAAATACAGAGGAAAATAAGACAGTCACTGGCCTACTGACACATGTATCTCACAGAATCAGCAGACTATCAAACTAACATAACTACTGTGCTAGTTACTCAAGACAAAAACTGTCTGTGCTCTTAAGGAATACATTGTCCAGGGAAAGTGACAGGCATCTGAAGAAATAATTACAGTGTAACTTGCTAAGTGCTGCAGTCAAGTTGCCCTCAGATCTATGATTAGCAGAACAGGAGCTCCTAATATTTCACTACCATCACTGAAAAAACAACTCAGAGAGCATGCTTTGCTTGCATTTGGCACTGTCATATCCTTTAGCTTAATGATTCTTAAACATTTGGGAACCTCAGGCTTCTTTGAGTCACTGAAAGCCTTGACCAATGGTCTGTTTCCCGAATTCTACCTGCATAAACAATAATTCGTCTTAAGTGTCAGGGTGTTTACAGAACCCTAGTTACCTGTCCACATACCCTGGGTTAAGATCCTTCCTGTACTTGGACTAAAGATTATTAAGTTTATTTCCTTTTTGCTTTTATTTTTAAATGCATCATTTATAATACACCAACCTTTAACCATAGGTAGAAAAACACAAATCCAGGTAGTTAAAATTCACCCCACTGTCTGTTCTTCTCATAAAATACATTCACATGTATAGGTAGCGGTATGTGTATTCAGTCTGAAGGAACCATTTGAGAGGTGCTGCCCTACTGATGACTCTTTTCCTTCTTTTTTCTGCTTGTGTTGTTTTAGGAGACAGTGCTCTGTTTGAGTTCTTCTCAATTTGTAAATAACAGAGACATAATAATGGGTTACCAAATGTTTAAGGTTAAGATTTGGAATCTGAAACCTATTGATGAAATGGAATATCTAAACCTGAAAAGCTTTTAGAAGGCTATGTTATTTATATTTTTAAATATATGTAAATAAACAAGTAACATCTTAAATGAACACCAAAAATTAGTTTTAGTTTTTCTATTCCTTAGTCATATAAATCTACCATCAAAGAGGAGAAAACATAACATTTCCTTTGAATTTTTAAATATTTTAAAGCAAAAACTTGGTATTTTGAAAGTCTAAAAAGTATATTAAATTGTGACTTAGGAAACGTTAAACACGCAGTCTGATTCCATGGCATGCCCAGCTTAAATGTATGCCAGGTGAAATATATAAAAAAACCCATGGAATCAAGGAATTGTCTTTTTAAAAATTTTTAGACATGAAAACAGCTGTTGAAACAATTACATCATAGTATAGTCTGTGGAAATTTTGACTTGATTGTGGACATTTTAAAAATCAAAAGCATCAAACTATGTTAATATAAATAGAAGAGTTATGATTGCTTTAATGGTGATTTATTAAGATATTATGTCTTTTCTTTAAAAAAATTAAAAAGTCTATGAAGACCATAACTAGATAGGAATGTTATCCTTTTTACCTGTTAGTAGTGATGGTGTTCCCAGTTTCTAGAGTTCTCACTTAAAGTTCTAACTTGCTTGAATGAACACTTTTTTTTGTACTGCTGATTGAACTTTGAATGAACACTTTAAAAACAAAGTGTTCCCAAAATGTACATTAAAAAACACCCTTAGAGGGCTGGGGATTTAGCTCAGTGGTTCCACCGCCTGCCTCGAAAGCATAAGGTTTGATCCCTGGCACCAAAAAACCAAAACAACAACAGCAACAACAACAAATCCTTACATAATATGGTGCATTTTATTGGCATAACTTATTTATTAGAACACAGTGAGCTAGAGTTTAAAATAATAGCATGGGCCGGGGATTTAGCTCAGTGGTTTCACTGCCTGCTGCGCAAGCGCAAGGATCAGAGTTCAATCCCCGTTACCAAAAAAAAAAACCCCAAAACAAATAAAATAATAGCATGACTGTTTGGAGCTCTTCCACAGTGTTGCTGCCAGCCTAACCGCCCTTCCTTTCCCTCCCTCAATCTCAGTCTCTTCTCTCTCTCTCTCTCCACTTCAATCCTGTCCTTCTCCCTAAAGTAGAGAACCTTGTGCAGTCCTTGCTGAGGGGCCTGGCCTCTTGGATAACCTGTTCCAGCTCCATGACGGTAAGAGCTGACCTATTGGGAGTGTTTTCTGTGGGCCAGCACTCTACAGAACACTTCAGATGCATTGCCTTGTTTAATCTTCATAAAACCCTCAGAGATTATTTTATAGTTGAGAAAACTATGGTTCAGATAATTCACATAACTTTCTCAAAATTTCTTATTCTCTCTGTTACCCCTGCTTTTCTTTATAGCACTTGTCACTTCCTGACATTGTGTTTATTTCCTTACTTGTTTGCCATTCACCTCCTACACCCAACTAGCATATGAGGCCAGTGAGAATGGAACCCTTCCCCACAGCTGTTTGGGTTTTTTTGCCATTTCTGTTCTCAGTCTGTTTTTTTCTCCCTGGGTGATTGCAGTTCCTGTTACTGTAATCATTATATCTGTGTAGATGACTGCTACTTCTATAGCTCTAAAACTTCTTTACAGTCTTTGAAATCTTTTTCTCCGGGCACCTGCTGGAAAAGTCCATTCACACATCTTCCAAGCATCCCTTGTCACTGGTCTCAAAATCTCCCCATTTGTAGCCCTCACATTTCTTTGTGTTCCTACGGTATTACTACTTGCTCAGTCACCATACCTGTCATTTCTGTGCGAAACTCAATTCTTAATAAGTGCTGACTGCTGACTCTTTCTGCAAAGGATCTTGACTCTGTTCCCACTGTAAAGGATCATCCGTGGATTTTTGCCATAGATCCCTCTGCTCCTTATTTTCCAAACAGCTATTGAAATTATCTCAGGATCCTAAGATACATTTGCACTGTTCAGATTCTTTTGTGATTCCCCATTGTTTACATGACTTGGCCCTGTTCTTCTTTAGAGCCTCACCTTTCCTTCAGTCCAGTCTATACTTTGATATCAGAATACTCAGAGTTCCCTTCCACACGAGCCTGATCCTTGATTTTATTTTGTTGTTCTTTGCCTTCGTTGACTTCACAACATCTTTTAGGTCTCAGCTCAACGTCTCCTTCCATCTAATATAAACTAGGTAAAGTAACTCTGTACATGCCTATCTCTGCAGAGAAATTAGGAGTGTCTTATGTTTGTGTCCTCTTGGCTGGTCTCAGCTCCATCCATGCAGTATGCTCACACAGATGTGTAGCCAGTCAGGACAGCACTGCATCTCAGTTATGCTGTCTGTCTCCCAGAATTACTATTAGAGAAGATGATGGAGGAAAAGGCATTTACAAAATTTTGATTTCTATGTAAATATAAAGCAGTAACTTTTCAATGATTGAACTTAATATGTTCCTTAAGACTTGGAAATTTCTTCAAAATCCAAAAATAGTTACATGATTGAGCAGAAATGGAAACAAAGCTTTTGTAAATAAGGAAGGAAGAGGGATTGAAGGGAGAGGAGAGAAAAGGGAAAAAAAAAGAATCAAGATATTTTATGTACAGGTACAAATTCCATATGATGAATGTGATCGTTAATGTATATCCAAAGTGTACCAGTAAAATTAATTTTAAAAAATAAATCCATAAAAGGAACATATAAAGTAGTTTTATAAAATTAGGTAACAGGTGTTAGGCATCAATGTAGTTTTGTCAGAGAAGTAACTCAAGGAATTTTTTCTTCTTTTTTTTGTGGTACTGGGGATCAAACTCGGGACCTTATGCTTGGGAGACAGGAGCTGTGCCACTGAGCTAAATCCCTGACCCCTCAAGGAATTTTTTTAAAGAATATGTAATTGGAGGTGACAGTAAATTGATTTTATAGGCAGAATATTAATTTGCTAATATTATTTGTAATCCTCAATTATCTCCTGTCTTAATTTCTTTATTGATGAAGTAAGCTCTTGGATGCTTCCTTTAGTTATTTTGTGTATATTATGGCTTTATAAGGCTATTCTAATAATGTATATCAACTATAAATATTTTAAAGTAGTTTTTAGAATTTCATAACTTCCTATCATATTCTGATAGATAAATTTCAAAAAGTCTTTTCCTTTTGAAAATATTTAATCTATTTAAATTGCTTTCTTCTTAAATCTGACGGTACTATAGTTTGTGATGTTGCTATAAGTATGCCAGATCTATCTCCTTTCCTTATTTTTATAAAAAAAAGAAATTTCTACTGGTAAAAAAAAGCAATGGTATAGAATAAGGTAGACTTTGTTGGACTTCCTAATAAGAAAAGAATTTGGCATTTCTAAATATCCTGATCATCTTGGACAGCTGTGATTGAGTAATCATTGAAATCTCCAAGACTGCCTACATTTACTGTACCCCCTATAAAATTTAACAGAAAATTCCACTTTATTACTGTGGAAACTATCCAAAAATATAAAGGGGTTTTAGGAAAATTGCTATGACTCTTGACTCAGAAGGGTCTAAAGACCATTTGTTTTTAAGTTGTTTCATATCTTACATCTATAGTAAATCCATGAAATTTAAAATAAGGATTTTTGTGCAAATCAAAACTATTTTGAGATTCCATCTCACTAATGAATGTCATCAAGAATACAAAACAATACACATAAATGCTAGCAAGGTTACATATGGGAAAAAGAAACCCTTCTGCGCTATTGGTGGGAATATAAACTAGGATAGCCACTATGGAAATCAGTATAGAGGTTCCTCAAAAAACTAAAAATAGAACTACTATGTGATCCAGCTATACCATTCTTTGGTATATACCCAAAGCAATTAAGTCAGCATACTACAAAGTTATCTGTATACTCATGTTAGTTGTGGCACAATTTACAGTTGTCAAGATATGAAAACAGCCTATCTGCCCATCAACAGATGAACAGATAATGAAAATATGGTATATATACACAATGAAGTAGTATTCAGCCATAAAGAGGAACAAAATTATGTTATTTGTAGGAAAATGGATAGTACTGGAGATCATCATGTTAAATGAAATAAGCCAGACTTAGAAGACAAGCATTACATGTTTTCTCTAATACGTAGAATCTAAAAACAAAAACAAAGATGATGTGAAAGTGGAAGAGATACCATTATTAGACCAGAGAAATGGAATAAGGTAGAAGGGGTATAAGGAAGGGCCTGGGGTATGGATATGACCAAAATATGTCATGTGCTTTATATGAACAATTTAAAAATCAGCATTTTTGTAGTTTCAGGTAATACCAAGTTGACATTTTTTATATTCTTTGGTAATATGCTGCAAACTTAAGAGGAGTGAATTGGATTATAGTCAGATAGCTATGCATATGTAATCAACTATATTTTTTAACATGCACATATTCATCTGGAACTACCTCCTCTAGACCTATCAGCCAGCTTCTATATTAGGCATATAATATGGTTCTCAATCCCTAGAGTAGAATTTTTTCCATATTTGATTAAATGTAAAGCTAAAGAAAAAATGTATTTTACAGAAAAAATTGCTTTCCAAGTCAAATGTCAATAATATTTGAATGACCACTTTAATATTTTTTTCCTTTAACATTGCTTCCCTTGTTTGAGGTCTGTTAACTATAGTGTGGCATTCATAGCTTAGCACTTAGTGAATGATTATTTGATGCTATGGTCCTGAGTTGAGGGTCTATTTTATATAAGTAGTGGAAGAGCAAGGTGCTTTAGCAACCTTTGACTTCAAATGCTTTTTACATGACTCATATTTTACCCCCTTAAAAAAAAGTTCTTTCTGTACTCGCTTCGGCAGCACATATACTAAAAAAAAGTTCTTTCTATAAATAACAAACTACCCCCTTAAAAAAAGTTCTTTCTATAAATAACAGCAATCTTATTTTACAGCCCTTGCAGTATTTTTTGTTTTGTTTTTGTTTTTTGTGTTTGTTTTATTTTTTATTGGACTCCTGGCTACTTATTTAAGGGTAACTGTAGTGATCTTTTAGTAGTAATGGTAGCTCTTTGTTTTGGGGCACTTACTAAGCATGAAGCTCTGTTTTTCAGCTCCATACCAATGCTGTTTTTTCTACTCTGCAAGGCAGGTACTATTATCCCTGTTAACAGAGTATGAAACTGAACTTCAGAATGGTAAAATAACTTGCTCCAAATCACACAGCCAGAAGAGGTAAAGTTTGGATTTCAGAGACTAGGCTCTTAACCTGACACAATCTTACCTAGCAAATTTTATCATCTGTACCACAACTTTTAGCACTTAAAATGTTAACTTTAATTGATTAGGAGTGAGTGGAGGGGGAAAGAGGGAAAGGTGTGTTATGTGTCTCTGGCAAATTCTGAGCACCTTGAGAAAAGAAATTCCCCATGTGCAGTCCTTGCTTTTGACACCCCATATTGTAGAGAGAGGGAAGAGCACCTGATGTGAGGGGACGCTGGCTGAGCTGTGGTTTTTCCTTCCCCCAGGTGGTGTGGCAGTGCCGAACTTCACTTCTCAGAGGTCCCCTGCCAGGATGTCTGTGACGCTGCCTGCAGTGAACCTAGAGGACTGCTCCCCATCCCTGAGCGTCAGCACCATCCAGGGGGACCCTGGGTCCTCGGGGGCAGACACCTTCTGAGCCAGTGAGACCAGCAGGGCACAGTGAGATTTCACTCTGGTCAGAACCGTCTCTCCGACTATCTTGGTCTTTGAGCATATTCTGGAGAACATTTCTAATTTTTTATTGAAAGTGAAAAACATAATTTGGGTTTTTAGGCAAAGTTTTTTGAATGAAATAAATATGAACCATCGTGAGTCTGGCTGTGAGTTGTTTCTTAGGAGCCCAAGGTTGCATGGGACAGTGGAAAGAGCATGGCATTTGTCATCTAAGAATTATTTTACAGGTACAATTATCTGACTATGCTCATGCAATTATTCAGCTCAAGGTTATTCATTCCAACATTTGTAGTAGTAGAAAATAAGCAGAAGTAATTAATGCCTACCAGTAAAGGATTAGTAAAAAAAGGAATAGTATTGTTGTACAATGGAATAGTATGTGGTACAAAAAAGAATATTAAAATGTGTATACATGGACAAAGAATTCTCTCTAAGATGCTGCTAGTTGAAAAATCTGTGTGAAAAACTGTGTGAACTGCGCTACCATTGTTTCAAGTGAGATGGAACCCCACATACATGGTGTTCACACCCGTACAGTATATGCTTGCATGCATTGCTTCTATTTGCATTAAATAACTGTAGAAAGATAAACAAGCAACTGCTAGCTGCGTCTCCAGGAAGAGGAACTGATGGTGAAGTCATAGGAGTCAAGGATACCTGTGTTTCCTAAGTTTGAACTCCATTCATGATAGGAAATCATTATGAATGAGGTTAATTCTTTATATGCTTTTGTACCATCAACTTTTATTTTTCTTTATAAACTTGTGAAACAACATAAATACATAAAATGAAGGAAAAATAAAAAGCATGCCTTAAAGAAAACAAACAAAAGCATGGCTTTTATAACCAGGCGCATGCAGATTCTCTCCTAGCTTCTACACCTACTTGCTCTGTGATGGGCAAACAAGCCCCTCCTTGTCAGCTGTCTTGGGTTAATGGGGTTAATAATTGTTTTTGCAGAGAAACAGAAATCAGTGGTAATGTGTTTGCAAGGAGTGCTGTGAGTGGGGTGAGGGTGAGGTGTGGGTGTGTGCAGCCTGGAGCTTAGCAGTAGGGAAGTGTTCAGTAAACAGTGCTGACACTCGTGTCTTGAGGGGTTTCTGCATCATGTGTGCAGAATGCATGACACAAATGGCAGCCTGGCACTAGCAAAGACGAAAAGCGTCTTCTTCCTGAAATACTGTTTCCTGTCATCATTGAAGTTCATACACACAGTAATGACAGTCATCTGTGACTTTTCTCAGCTTTCTTGCTTTACTTTAGTGGGACTCAACCCTAGCTGCACATGATAACCTCTGGAAGCTTTAAAACATCCTAATGCCTGTGCCACATAACCAGGGCTCCTAATTTCATGGATCTTGAGTGGGGTCTAGACCATGGTATTAAAAACGAGAAGAGGGCCAGGCATTTAGCTCAGTGGTTCCGCCACCTGCC